GTTGCAGACGCTCTGGAAGGGATGATTAGGATGCAGAACAACCTTGTTAATTTGGAAAAATGGCCTGCAATTAATCAAATGCAATTAGATAAGAACAAGTCCTTACGTGCACAAATTGGGGGATGACTGGCTAAGCTGCAGCACTGCAGAAAAGGACCTGAGGGTTATAGTGGACCATAAACTGAATATGAACCAACAATACATTCTTGTTACAAAACGAGCCAATAGCACACTGCCTTGTGTTAACAGGAATGTTGCTTTCAAGTTTCCTTGCTAGTGGAAGTGGTTCTTCTACTCTGGTGGTTTGGAGTATTGTGTCCAGTTTGGGACCTTTCTCATTAAGAAAGATGCGGGCAAATTAGAAAGAGTCCAGCATAGAGAAACAAAAATTATTAGAAATCTGGGAAATGTGGTTTATGAGGAAAGATAGAAAGAATTGGAATGATTTAGACTGGATAAGAGAAGACTGAGGCAGTGGAAGATTTGATAATCCTTTCTGCATGGGAACACTGTTAAGAGGATGATGATGGGACAAGAAGTAAAGGCTGTACATTGCAACGCAGGAACTTTAAATTGGATATTAGAAAGAACTTTTTCACTGGCTCCTAGTTTGGAGCCAGGGCAGAGCCGTGATCCCCTGCTTGCTCGCCCTGGCCCACAGCGTGCAGGCTACAGATCACAGCTTTGCCCTGGCTCTGGAGCAAGCTGCCCTCATCCCAAGTTCCCAGCAGCTCCAGAGCATCCCCCTGAACTGCTCTGCCACGTGTGCTGCCGGAGGTGCTGATGCTGGTCTCCATTGCAATCCTAGCTTGAGCTTTCACACACAGGTGTGGCTGGGCTCTCCATGGAGACTGGCACAATCATGTGGACAGGGGCAGCTGGGAAATGAAGTCCCTGGCTGACTGGATCCGGCCTGTGGACCAGACTTTGCCTGTCCCTGGCATAACAGCTCAAAATAAAGTCTTACTGTTGTATATTGAAAACTAGGTGAAAGAAAAACAAACTTGGTCAATGGGAAGAATGAAGCCCTTGATGTGCATTAACCAACTTGGGCTCTGGGCATTCGGGGCGGCTTTCCTGTGAGGGCCCTCGGCAATGCCATGGGCTCCCAGGCTGCAGGCGGGCAGGGTACCTCTTACCCAGCCTGAGCAGGGGGCCAAGGCCCGAGCGCTGTTTTTCTAGGGCCTGTTGCGTGTAGCCAGGTGGTTGGGCAGGGCTGCTTCCACCTAGTGTCCCTCATGGCGCCAGCCAAGGCTGGCGGTGAAGCTGCCAGGGCCCAAGCACAGCTCACCCAGAGCCTGCCACGCAGGCAGGCAGAGCTGCTTTCACTCAGTGACCCCTATGGCACCAGCAAATGCCAGAGCCACTGCCTGCACCATCTGCCTGCAGGCTGGGTAGAATCAGTTGGCAGGGCAGATACATCCATGGGCCCTATTTTGCCTACCCCTGCTATATAATGTAGTATAAATAGGCATAAAATATACCCACACACTGGGAATGCCAGCATGTAAAAGTGATGTCGCCTGGTCTATAAATTATGCACCCAGCTGTTACAATGCTCCCACCCCCATTGTAACACGTGTTTAAGTACCTCCTAAACTGTTTATTGTGTCCACTGGTAAAATACATTTTATGTGTACCCCATGCTGCTGTTTGTTTTATGTGGCTTACATTAGTGTGGGCTGTGAGCTGTGCCACTGTTTTTGTGGTTGAGAGAATACAATTTAGGCTGCTCTGCCTTTTCTTTACCACCTTATTTGCATCCATACCTCCCAAAAACAAAACTAAATTTCTATTTAGAGCAAATTAATGAAATGTGGAGATGGGTAGAAATCAAACTGACATGCATCTGAATTAAGCACCAGCGTTATTGCTGCAGATAAAGCTCTTACTTATTATCCAAATCAAGCTTGGCACTTCCTTTTACTCCCATGGAGTGCTCCTTCAGTGTCCTTCATTGGACTAATATCAGTGATAAAAAATTAAATAAAATGTTTGCTGTCACTACACACATATGATTTTAAATCTCTTGTGTTTCTGTTTGTTCTGTGACTGGAAGTTTAGATCTGGGGTAAGATTAGGGTTATGACAGTGGCAATGTATAGCTGTAGGAATTGTAGCCACAATTTTCAAAAGCAAAACAATATTAAGGAATATTTTAAAAGTTTTAATAAAATACAACAAACTGTTTTTACTTCCTGTTCTAAATTTTTGTACAGGGTTTCTGTGGCAGTGTTAATTGCTTCATACCAGAGATGGCTACATTTCCATGTTGGAAAACATGACCCCCGTGTAATAGTTTCTCTTAATTTGTGAAGTGCTTTTGGATCCTTCAGTATAAATTATTATTGCCTTCAGTAAAGGAAAAGAAAACACTTTCAATCTGTTTTAAAATGTAATGCATAATGTTGGAGGTACCCTCCAGAAATGGATGTCATTCTGCAGTAGGTTTGTAGTGAAAAGTTTGAGGGAGTCGCTAGTTTGTGGCATCTGTCTCTTGTGGTAATTCTCCTTTCCAGTTAAGCTTTGTGGTTTTTACTACACTGGCAGATGTAGGAGAGTCCCCATTGAACTGCTTGGTGTCGTGTCGACATGCTTTGATCGGGGTTAGAGAACACAATTGTAACGATGTCAATGGACAATTTATACTAATGCTTCCATGGTTGGTAGCACTGGTGGGGTTAGATGAGGGGCATTGCCCGGCTGGGAGAGTTTTCCTAAAACGTACGGGGCAATTGTCGCTTTGCCTGTGTTGCACATTACTTTTAAAGATGCTTGTATCTAGTTTCACTGCTTTCATTGCTATGATGGGATGTTACGGTGTTTCACTTTGGGCCTCCTTCAATTTCATGGATTGTACTTAGCCACTTTTATTCCATTCCAGAATTGTCAGTATGAATTTAATTTCCTTATTTTTCAGCATTCTTCTGTTTTATTTTTAAATGTACTTTGTCTGATTATGTATTTTGATACCCTGCTTCTTTCTTTTTAGAAACTGTAATCATGTTTTACCACAGTTAGGTAGTTATATATTTTTAAGCTCTCTTTATATAAACTGTGAAACCATGTGTTATTTTGAGATTCTTCTTCCATCCTTTGAAAAAACAGTTGGTATCCCACGTTATAGTTAGAAGTAGATGCTTTCTCAAAGTAAAATACTTCCTTTCTCGTTCCACATGTTTTGAAGCAACACAAATTAGGTCCTTATAAATTTAAATTTATTTTGTCATCCTGTTGAATACACATGCTGCTTCACTCTGATCCCTTCACGTTGTGTAAGGTAAAAAACCAACAACTGAGGTTTGTCTTAAAGGGGAAAAAATCCAGGTGCTGCAGAAAATGGTTGCTGGTAAATTCATTTGGAGGTATTTTTGCCTCTAAGTCATTACCGCGTGTAAGATTCCTGCATGTTTTAAAAGACATTGAGCTTCAAAAAACGCTATATTTTTTTTCAGACATGGTATAAACCAATAGGTCCTGACTACTTTAGGTTAGAGTAGGAGTGCCACCCCTGGTACCCTGGTCCTTTTCCAGTTTAACTAAATAAAATCTTTCATTTCCTCTGTCTTTTTAAGTATAGATGAGGAGGTATAGCGTTTCTCAATTCCTTACTTTCTCTCCTAAATTAGTGTGTAATTGTGCTGTGTTATATTAGAGCTGCTGTACAGTTCACTCGGTACGGACATGAGTCCATGACAGATAAATGTAAAGGGTTTCTACAATTTGGCAGTTTTTAGATTGGTGAGATGGGTGTTATAGATATTCTCAGAGCAAATATTATTGCATCCGAGGGCTTGGCTACAGACTACAACTTTCCTGTTCTGTATTGGGTTTTTGTATATGATTGTTTGTAGGGTGTTATTTTTATGTTGAGAGTGGTAGATATGCAGTTGATGTTGGTTTAAGAGTATTCCAGAAAACGCTTGATGGAAGGAACTTATGGTTGAAGCTGTAATGGCAGGCAATGAGAGAATCCAGATGTTTAGTCTGATGATGAAATAGCTAATAACTGTATGATAAACAACTAGGGATTTATAAGTAGTAATGGAAAACTGTTGTATCCATTGGCAGTGACCAAAGCATAGCTCCAAAAGAGTGCGCACTACTTTCTATTTGCTTTCCATTCTGTGCACTCTTTCCAGCTGTCTGATTCATTTGTAGTATTATTTTATTAACAGTGTTATTATATTAGTGTTGCTTACTTTTATTTACTGTTAAAGTTACATACTTCAGCAAACAATACATCTTCTAAAATTGAGATTTCTGTTGAAGAGATTTTCAGATGTAGCAACGCAGTACATAAAACTAGAAGGAATCGCTTGGATCATGAACTCTCGATTCCCCTGCTATTACAGGCAACCAGTGTCTTACAATAAGCTTCATTAGTTTATCACACTCCATATTAAAACTAATTAGATTATTTGCCCCTCCATGTAATAATGATTTTAATAACTAAAAAAAAATACATATTTATTCTGATATTTAATTTCCTCAGCTATCCACTGAGGTGAAAAAAAACCCTATTGTTTCTATCTTTTGTGTCCGCAAACCAATTTACATAGGGTTGTCCATTTCTGTCTTAGTTTAAGTTTGTTTTATTTTGCATCATATTCCTTTGATTTGTATTAAATATAATTATTAACTTACTATTTGGTCTCAGTATACTTAGGTTTGTTTCTGAAATATTATTTAGATTGAGGGTGTTTTTGGTTTTATTTCTGGTGACAACACACTGGTTGGTAGATAGGTTGAAAATCCAATAGAAAGGTTAAAAAATCCATCCCAGGCCTGGGAGCTGGTACTTCAGAATGAGGAAAGAACAATTCGGACATTGTTTCCCTAGGTTTCTAGTCTGAAAAAAGAGATGGAAAGGGCAACATGGGGAAGTCGGTTGATCTGAAAACAAAGAAACTGAATAACCTTAAGAAATTGCTGGTTGAGCCCCAGGAATCTTGGTCAGAGGGTCACTCACTTTGAACATTTTTCTTGTTACTCCCTAGGGCTGTTTTGTTTTTAAGCCAAAGTCCAAGAAGAGGAGGATAGCTTCAGCAGGTGAGTACATTTTGATATGTGTTGCTATGCTTCAGAAAGGCTCTGCTGACCCTAAAACTTGCAATTTAGATTGAAATTTGTAATGTCCATTTAAAGATTAATTTACTTGCCAGTGCTGACATTGTACTATTGAACTGTCATTTCCTCAGCAGCACTCTGACAACTATGAAATTCTCTCATCTTGAGAAATGAAATCAGAGTAGCCACTCTTTTTCTTTATAGACATTTTTTTCCTCAGGAAAGCTTTTCTCTCTAGTATGAAAAACAGCTTAAATTGTCTACTGATTTGATTTATTAAGTCAGTAGACAAGACCCAGCCTCAGACCTGGGGACTTTGCCCAGGCAAACACAGCCACTCATCCTGGTCCTCCTACTTCTTGATCACCCACATTCATCCAGGATGGCCTGAAGTCTGCAAATGGGCATAATACTCTGCCCACTTCATATCACCAGAGTGGCCAGCTGGAGTCAGCTGACCCTCCACTTCCTGTGTATATATCCCTGGGCAATAGGGCTGAACCTGATCCAAGACCACTTTGCTGTTCCCTGGAGCTTGCTGCTTGACTCAGCTGTCTGCTTGGTCTCCTGGCTTCTTGACCCAATTCACTTCTAGACCCTGCTCTCAGATTGACCTCCTGGCTTCCTGACCCAGTTTGTCCTTGGATTCTGCTCACCCATTATGACCCTAATCAGCACCTTCATCCATGAGTGGCCCTAGATTCATCTGCCCACGTCCTGGCGTGTCAGTTTGCCTGGACGGCCCACATCCTGGCATGACAGTTTGTTTGGATTTGCATCTTCAGTGAAGAGGGTTCATCACAGAACCCAGCCTCTTGCTTGTACCCTCAGACCTGCCTGCTTTGGATGCCACAGGTCAAGGAGACATCCAGGTTGGACAGCACTGGCTGAATCAGCTTGCCTCCACCCAACCAGTCCTGGAAGTATGGATGTAGCAGCTGCTGAGAACCAGTCTCTCCAGACCCAGGTGGCGTATTGCCATATGAATAGCTAGGGCTGGTGTGAGGAGGCGCAATGGCTACAGGAGGAGATTGCTGGGCCTGTCCCACAGAGTTCTGTTTCTCTTCTGCTACATGAAAAGTATGATGGAGACAGGCACTCCAAAGATTTTTTTTAATCCAGTGTTGCCTTTTGTTCTTAGCCCTGGAATCTACTTCAGGGGTCAGACAAAGGTAAGCCTGGTCATAAGCATCCTGACAGGATGTATTGAATTGGGCCTTACTGCTGGTGGAGCATGACATCCTAGCCCTCCAGGACTGGAAGCCATTCCTTCAAGAATTATTTGTTAAGTTTGATGACCCCCACCAGGCCCAGACAGCAGAATCTGCGTTAAGGAACTTTTGCAAGGGGGAGGGTATTGCCCCTACCTGTATGTCCCTTTTCTACTGCTACATGGCAGACATGTACTGGAACAAGGCAGCCCAGCTTTACTGATTCTAGTGCAGTCTGTGGCAAGAAATAAAAGATGAACTTCCACAGGTAGAACTGCCCACAGGTTTTGATGCCTTTGTGGACCTGGCAGTCTGAATTGAATCTCCAGGTGTGGAGGGAAGAAAAAAAGTACTCACTACCCCCTCCGGTTCCCCATCTCACTAATGCTACTCCCGAACCCACGCACATTGATGGGGACACCATTGCTGTACCCCAAATGAACAGAAGCAATGCCACACAATTTTTGTTTCTCTGTTGTAAGGTCCTAGGACACCAATATGCCTGCTGCCCCAAGAGAGGGGGCATGGAAAAAGTAACTAGTCCATGCTTAGTGAGGGTGGCTGACTTAGTTTCACTACAGACTTTTTTCACTCACTTAATAATGGAAACCTGCAGCAAATCTGATCTAACCCTCAGTACCCTCAGTTACAGCTGTACATCCACCTCTAGGTCCTGGGTCAAATCAATTTAATCAATGAAACCATGACCTAGGCCCTATGTATCCCACTACAGTGGCAGTCCAAGCTAGAGACCTTCAAGACTATAGATCGCTCCCCTCTTACCTTCAGCCCTACAGTGGGAGACCATCACCATGGAGGTGAGCATTGATCAGCACTGCCAGAGGCTATGTTTTGGGGCAGTCCATTCCCTGCCTTACCCCTTGATTGTAGGGTTCCCCTGGCTTACCCACTATGACCCCCAATTGATTGGAAAGCCTAAGAAGAAGTTAACTCCAGTTCAGTTTACTGCGAGCAACACTGCTGGAAACCTGGGAGAGTTGCCCAACCCTACAATTCAGTCAGGGGTCCCAATGACTTCTGCCCTCCCCTGAGGTTGTATCCAGTCTGCCCTGAAAATACTAGGACTACGCTGATGTATTTGAGAAAAAAGAACATGGAGATCCTCCCCCCATACACACATTATGATTGCCTCATCAGCCTACAGCCTGGGGCAGAGATCCCAATGGGGCACTTTTGTACCTTGTCAAAGCCAGAACTTGCTGCCCTCTGAGAATACCTGCAGGTAAACCAGAGGTTCATAAGAAAGTCTTGTCTCCCCCACTGGGACTGTCATCGTATTCATTACGAAGGATGGGGGGATGCTCCATCTCTGTAAATCATTGGGTCCTCACAGTCGGCAAGGTCCAGAACAGGCCCTGTACTCCTGTACTTTCTTTTCCTGCAAGCTGACTCTGGCAGAACAAAATTATAAGATGCTGGACTGCGGACTCTTGGCTGTCCGTGGACTTCATCAAAAGGTGCCAGTCTTGAACGGTTGTTCTGTGATTCTAACTAATGGACCAACTCACAAAAATGACCTACTTGATTCCACCCATGGGCACTTCCTCAGCAAAAGATGCAGTCTGTGGTATACGTCCATAGCCTTCCAGATTGCATCATATCAGAGTGTGTGGTCAAAGTTTATTTCTTGGTTCTGGTCTGTAGCCCTCCACCTCCCGGGAGTCAGCACCCATGTCTCATTGGGCTACCACCCCGAGACAAATGGTGAGGCTGAAAGGACCAATCAGGTCTTAGAACAATACCTTCACTGGTACTTGTTTTCAGCAGGATGATTGAGTCTTACTCCTGATGCTTGCAAAATTTACATACAACAACTCCACATATGCCTCAGCAGAACAAAGCCTGTTCTTTGGAAACTATGGGTTCCAGCTCTGGTTTCATCCCATCTTGCCAACAGGCTCCGACAACCCTGGAGCTATGAAATGACTCTGTCACATTTATAAAGTCCAGGAGGAGTTGAAGCAACACCTGCAAAGGACAAAAGAGGCCTATAAGTGGCAGGCAGACCAGCACCACCAGCCAGGGCCTGCCTACTGTGTAGGGGAGAAAGTGCGTCTGTCGACTGAACACCTCTGTATGGACCAGCCTTCGTGGAAACTGGATCACCACTTTCTCAGCCCCTCCTGCATAACCTGCTAAATGAACCTGCTAGCCTTTGAACTACAGCTCCTGTACGCACTAAAGATTCACTGAGTACTGTAATCCATGTTTCGCTATTCAAACTGCACATAGAGAATTCTCCTCCCCACTGTACCCAAACTCCATCATCCCCTGGTACAATTGAGGAACAGGAGGAATACATAGTCCATCAGATTTTAGAGGCTAAGAGGAGATAGAGGAGTTGCACTACTTGATAGACTGGGAGGGATGTGGACCTAAAGATTGTGTGTGGGAACCAGCAGAAAATGTCCACACCCTTGACTTACTAAAAAATTTCATAGGGACTACCCAGAGAAGACGGGGCCAGTGACCCTCCAGAGCCTCTGTTGTTGGGGCTTGGGGGAGGTGATGTCAGGCAGCAGCCTTGAACCTGGCGCTACTCATCCTGGCCTGCCACCCTGTGGTTGACTGAGGATAGTCTGAAGCCTCCAGTAGAGCCTAACCTACTGCCTGCTACTTGTCACTGGAGTTGGCTAGCTGACTCTGCACTTCCTCTTATAAACTCCTGAGCAGGAATAAGTGTCCAGAAAACGAATCAAGCTGATCCAAGACCACTTTGTTGTTCCCTTCACCTTTCTCCTGGACTCTGCTCTCTGCTTGATCTCCTGGCTTCTTGACTTGACTTGCTCTTAGTCCCCATTCACTGCCTGGCTTCCCAGCCCAGTTTGTCCTCAGATTCTGCTCACCCATAATGACTCTGGTTGGCGCCTCAATCCCCAGGTGACCCTATACCCTGATTTTAGAGGGAAGCCTTTATTTTGTTCCTCGAGTTCCTTTCTACGTTCCTCACATTTCTACTATTTAGACAACATTTCACTCTCTTTGTATCATCTGTAAAGAACTAGGCAGGATAACTCCCTTTGGATATGTGAATGGTGCTGCTCAGTTGTGTTGAGAGTTGCTCAAGGGACATCTTGTCCCTGCTCCCAGGTTAAGCGTGCTGTTTTGGCAGCACTCCTAGTCCCTGCTCATCTCAGAGCTGTCAAAAGCTGTGACAGTTTGAATGAAGAAGAAGAGTGCAAAAAAAAAAAAGTGAGCTAGATTTTAAACCTCTTTGGAAATCATTGCAGACTTTTTCATCACCAGAGGGAGTTACTTTAACACCTGGTTTAAAATCAATCCAAAATTATTTTTCCCCCAGAGCTGACATGTCTCTAGTTCAGAGAGTTGAAGACAAGGAAGTTTAACTCAGTTTTCTATCATTACAACACAATTTTAAATAATTAGGCCAATGAGGGGGTCTTATCATTTAACAATTAAGCCACTGTAGAATTTTGCCTCTTACTGAAAACTGCTTCATCTGGATATTATTAATCTTGCTAAAACAGATGTTGCTCCAGTTGTGATAACATTATCTTTGGGGATAGTTCAGTCAATTAATGTCATTAGCGTCCCCTCACAAGCAAGCATCACGAGTAACGAGGCAATTATCATCTGACATCACCTTTTCTGGACCAGCCATGTCATCTGGATGTCTGACTCCAGACTCCCAAAGCAAATCTTATTCTCCCAGCTCTTAGTCAAGGTGTATGCTCAAGAGGAGGGCAGAGAAAGTGCTTCAAGGACGTCCTCAAGGACAACTTGTAAAAATGCAACATTGACATCAGCTCAAGTGAGATTATTGCCCAGGACCACACCAAATGGAGGAAGAGTCCACTGTGAAGATCTCAGTACTTTGAAACTGTACAATGACAACAGGAGATGAATAAGCAGGAGCAGCAGAAACACTGTGTTGCAGACCGAATCAATCTAAAGCCGCCCACTCCATGCGGAAATGTGTCCGAGCTGCAACAGTCTGTTGATCCTGAATCTGCCTTGTCGGCCATCTTCGGACCACAGATAAGACAGCCATGGAAGATAATCATCCTTGATTGCAAGAGATTGCCAAAGGAGGAGTCCAGTCAATACTTAATACTCATAAATAAAAACTAATTTTGTTATTTTAAACGATTACTGGTTTACAGTAATCTCTTAAGAATTTTTTTTTTTGCAGGGGGGAGAGGAGGGGTCCAATACAGCATCATGCTACTTAACATTCAGATTCTGTTACATACCTAATTATTTACTGCTTTTCCCCAAGGAGATGGCACTCAGATTAACCAGATGCTGTTTAACTCTTAATTTCTTACCCTGAAGAAATAAATCTGGGAGCCATGAAATAAGCACATCAACTCTGCATCTTTTAATTGCCATTGCTAAAAATATTGGCCAGCCACTGTCTTTCAACACTCCCGTCCTCTTGTTCTTAGGGCCAGGTTTTAAAAAGTATATCTGCATGTGAAGATGCAAATATGTATTTAATGAACCTACATATCTAACTCCTAGTAAGAATTAAAACACTTGTAAGTACTGAACTGCATCTTTAGGCAGTTAAATACCTTTTAGGAATCTAGCCTGTTGTCCAAAGTACTGCTTGTGTTTGCCTTTTAGCCAGCCATGGAGGAACTGGACTCTAGCTATCCATTTCCTACTTGTATACAAACGAGAATGCGTGAATGTGAGCAGAAGAAACAGGCAGTTTTCATGCACATATTTCTAGCTTTTGCAAGGTGGAGGGTCCTCTGAAATCCCATTTATTTTAGTTGGACTTGATGGTACTCTAGACCTCCTAGCACAGGCCTTTGCACACATCCATGTAAACTTGAAAAGTATACTTGAAAGCATAAAAATAGACTCAAAAGTAAAAAAAATAAAATAAAAAAATAGAAAGGGCATTTTGGCAAGATAACACACACACAATGGTTTGACTTGCTTTTAGTTAATATTGTTAATGAAAGTAGACCTGCAAAATCAATGGATGTTACAGTCTGTACTGCATTTAAGTAGTTTCTTAGTGTAGATAAAGAATCAGGCCTCTGGGGGAGTCTTCCATTAATTGCTTATAGTGCTGTGAAAGACACGTGGCTTGTAAGGTAAGGTAATATCTTTGAGAAAAGTGCTTGAAGTCTGAAACCTGTTCTCTTTATTTCTCCCAACTACGTAAGTTAGTTCAATAAAAGATTGCCTCTCCTCACTGATCTTGTTTCTCTCATATCCTTGGACCATCACAGGTACAACAACACTACTGCTTACAGCACTATCATGTTTGCAGAAAGATTTCAAGCATTCACCAAATCCCTTTCTAGAGATTAGACCATAGCTGATAGCACAGAAACTGATTGTTAGAAAGACCTACACTTTTTTTCATTGTCTTCACAGGCAGAAAATTTAATTATAGCATACAACCCAGCATTATAATGACAGTTAACTGAATTGTTCATTTAATCTTCAGCCATTGTACATATCTAGGTAGTATTGGCAGTCCTTGAAAAACTACATTTATGTTAAATGCATTTGCAAGAGTGAAAGGGTAATAACCAATCCTGCCTGCACCTGTTAAAAAATGGAAGCTGAGATTGAGTAAGATTCTGGTTGTTGTGGGTTTTTTTTTAATTAAAAAAAAATCTTTGTTTTCCACTGAGTTACCTATTTCTCCTTCTAGCTTTGACTGTCTTTTTTGTTGAAGACTTAGTGTAAAGTGTCTTTATTGACTAGATTTCTGGAGTAGCATGGCATCTAGAAAGCTGAGCAAAATTTTTAGCAGAGAATAGGGTTTTTAGCAGGTAAAAGTGTTTGATATTTAAGTAGTTGTGTAGCATTTGAGGTCCTTCTAGCAACAGCTGCTACCTACTCCCTTTACTTGTTCTACCAGAGGTGCAAGCAGATAATGATTTGTCATCTTATCTGAATGAATGAGGATGAATATTCCCTTTTCAGTCAGCTGTGGCAGCCTTTGTGTAATTTTCTTTTGTGGATGGGGGGAGGAAAGGCAGGTTTTTTTATAAACCTTTTATGATTTCCTGTATTCTGCCTTTGCAGCTGACTATTTTAATGACAGTAAAAATGATTCAGAAGACAGTGGGCTACGATTTGCTACGTGCGAATCATTATGGAAGCAGATCAAATCTGAAACAGAGGTAGGTCCTACTACATAGTTCTAAAGAACAGCATTGCCTTTTCAGTCAATTGTCTTTCCCCTAAGGTGATTTCCTTTACCTGCTGAAAACAGTGATATTGTGAGGGAGGAGGGCCAGAAATGAAAAGTGAGACTGAAACCCCCATGTGCTACATAATAGAGGTGCACTGATACGTGGGTCCGGTATCGAATCAGCACAGATATAAAGAAAATTGTCCATATTGGAAATCAGCCTCGTGGCTGATAATTTGGCCAATAAATGGCCCGTGCATGTGTGCAGCTGCAGTACAGCATGTAGGTGGTGAGGAGCAGTGCCAGGAAGCTCTGCCCTGGCTCACTGCTCGTGCCAGGTGGGAGCTGTCAAGGAACTTTAGTGGCAACTAATCCCAGGGATTGGACAGCAGAGCCTGCCTCCCTTCCTCGCCCCGCACCCACCACACCTGGAGCTGATTGGAGCTGGCAGGCCAGGGCAGCAGGATAAACCCTTGGGCAGCAGCTTGACTGGCAAGGAGCAGGTCACTGAGGGGCGAGTCAAAGGCAAGGTGGCAGTACTTGGTGAGAAGGTGGCATGGCTGGGCAGCCCTGGCTTGCACATCAAGGGCTTCACCATCACTGATCTGCTGTCGCTGGAGGATGTGCTGCAGACCTCTCCTCCATCCCCCCCAGCCACTGGCACTAGTGCCGAGGGCAGGGTACAGGTGGCTCGGTGCTGGGTAGGAGCACCCTGCTGTAGGGGCTTGGCTGCTTGTGCAAGCAGCCCTGCCTGCCCCTCCTGCTGCCCCATGCTGAGCCCCTGCTGCTCCCAGGCCCTGCTGGTTGGCACCAGGCTATCACCTTGGATGAATGGATGTGCTGCCTTGCAATAGCCCACAGGGCCCCCTGCCACTGGGGCACATGTGCTCCTCATGCGCACCCTCCCCACACAAACACCCTCCTCCCATACACACCTCATGCCTCCCCCCACACATGGTGACAGTGACTAGGGGGAGGCATTTGGGGAGGTGGGGAGGCAAGACATACTGAAATAGAAGTTTGTCCAGGGTGCAGTTTTCCCTAAGGTTGTCTGATTGTAGATTGGAGGAGAAGCAATTGAACAGAAGATGCTAGATAATACAGTTAAAAGCTTAACCTGACGAACAGTTATAAACAGTATGAATGGACTTGTCTGCACGTGGGGATTTGGTTTGCACTGAGCTGTGGTGCAGTACTTGTGTGTTAGATGAGTGTTTCTCAACCCATGGGTCGCAACCCAAAAGTGAGTCACAAGAATATGTGGAAGGGTCACAAGCAAACTTTAAAAATGGATCAGCAAACTTTAAAAATGGATTCTCCTTTAACGGAGAAAAATGTGGGAAACTGTGGTGTTTTTCCCTTACAGACTGGCAGAGTTTCAGCCTCCCCGGGGCTGCTTGGGGTCCCCT